GGCTTTAAAGGACTTGCCAAAGGGGCGGTGAGGGCTTCTACCGCTACATCCGTACCATGCCACAACAAATAACCCATATGAGACTGATAAGAAACTGTTCAGTACTGACACCCGTGTCTGTCTGCAGGTTTTTGAGATGGAATGGCATAGTGTCGCAGGATGGACAGGTCAAGGGGGCTCACTGCTGGGGACAAATCGGTGAGCAACAGGGCACCTTGATTTCTATGATTCTATGATTCTATGATGTGAACATATTTAAGTAAACTTAAGAATAGTTTGGGGACTTGAGGGAGTTTTTTTAAAGCCAAAATTGATGTAGAGGCCACAAGTAGGCAGTATGACAACCTATACCATGAGACAATATGGTTTTGTCAACTGCCAGAGATTTTGCCATACAATTTATACTGTGTTAAGGAACCAATCATCATGTCTGCATTACAGCAAAATTGGATTTCTGTTATTTTTGCAATAATAAATGTTTACTTGTCATGTCCTTGATTTGCTAGATTAGCCAAAACAGACATTTCTGTCTACTTATAACATCCATGAATATTTTTTCAGAGTAAATGTTATGAAAAAATACATCGATGTTTTAATATTCCTACCTCTTAATATACCTAATAAGAGGGTTTTATTAAATTTAAATAAATATAAATGTCCTGGCTGTGTGAACTTTCAAAAACACTGGATCTAACAGTCCCCATAATGTTTCCAATATTGTCTTTTGACCTTCCCACACATACCTTATAAATTCAAGGGCCCCAGTTTGTAGTGCAGATTTTTTGGTAAAAATGTGTAGACAAAGCTAAGGGACCAGGATGATGTTACGTGATTTCTCAAGACGTAACAAAACATCCTCCAAGCCAAATTGGCCTCTTTAAGTTATTTTTAATTTCTGTTTGATGTCGTATTTCAGAACTCTTCCAAGCGAAAACATGGAGAAGATTGTGGAAACCATCACCAAGTTCAACATCTCGGCGATTCTTGTAATTGGAGGGTTTGAGGTAGGGCATCAGACACAAGCCTTCACAACTTGTATATTAATTTCAAGTGTAAATGTTACATCAAAGAGGTTTTCAGTCTACCTCTTGGTGACTTTCAAAGGGGTACGAAAGTGTGCTGCAGCTGTTTGAAGCCCGGAGTCACTATGATGAGCTCTGCATCCCTATCTGTATAATCCCTGCCACCATCAGCAACAACGTCCCTGGAACAGACTTCAGCCTGGGAGCAGACACGGCTGTTAATGCTGCCATGGAGGTAATGCTGAGCAGATGGCAAATTAACAGTGCGGCTTTGATGTTTCAGGATTAACATAAAGAGACTGAACCAAACCAGAAAACATCACATCTAATATGAGCTGTAGTATTACCAAGATACACTTTGAACTCTGTATACTTAACAGGGCTGACAGCAAGAGCTTTAAATTGTATCTTTACCGTTCAGAGGAAAGAGGCGAGCAGCACTGTAGTTCACCCCTGTACTTTCATATTAACCACCTCACCTGGAAAAAGAACACATAAACAGTCCTTCCTGTGAGGAGCAACTTATTGTCTTTTCAAGCTGCGTATTTCTGTTGTGTTTTGCTCTTTTTAGAGGCAACACAGTATAGATGAGGGTTAATTAGAAGTACTTTAATGTGGACTCTCTCTCCACTTACAGAAGAACAATTTTGAACCCTGCCCTCAATTACCAATGTCTCCTTTCACACTGCCATTTCAATTTCCCCTTCAGAGTTGCGACAAGATCAAGCAGTCTGCCACTGGGACCAAGAGGCGAGTGTTTGTGGTGGAGACAATGGGTGGATTCTGTGGCTATCTGGCAACCTGCACCGGTATAGCTGTGGGTGCTGACGCAGCCTACATTTATGAAGAGCCCTTCGACATACACGACCTGAAGGTAAGGCCAAAAGATAATCCCCTTCTGTTTGTTTTTTTGTCTTTCTTCACAGCTTTCTGTCTCTTTAATTATCTGGCCTTTTGACAGACTAATGTGGACCATTTAACTGAAAAGATGAAGAAGGACATCCAGCGGGGTCTTGTACTGAGGTACAAAACGCTCACTCAGCTCCATACATTCATACACCCATACAGAGATTCTCATGCATAGTTGGAGAAGCTGATGAAAAGTGTCATCTATGTTTTATCTTTTTTTGCTGCCATCATGCTATGGTTTACTAAAGGCTGAGCAAGTATGTACATAGATCTCCATTTAAAAAAAACAAGACTAAGAGTCAGACACAGATCTGTGAGGGGTTTTACGCTAAATACTAACATCATGGTGACAGTGCTAACATTTATCAGCTAGCGTGTTAGCATGTTAACATTTCCTAAACATAAAGTACTGCTGAGGCTGATGGGAATCTTTTTAGTTTGCAGGTATTTGGTCATAAACCAAATAATTGGACAAACTGCACATTTTTACAAAATTATGGCGCTATATGTTGACTGATGATCAGAGAAGTAGATTTGGATTTATCAACTGAGCAAAATTATTTGTTTGTACAAAATGTCCTGGCAATCGACCCAAAAGTTGTTGAGATGTTTCAGTCTGGACCAAAGTGGTGGACCGGCCAAGCAAAGGAAATTGCTATCTAAAGCAAAGCCTAAAAAATATTAAACATCTGAACTATTTCATTTCAACAAAACACATTCAAAAAGACAACTGTACAGGATATTTAGAACATATCACACTTTCAGGGTTCCCACTATTTCTAGAGATCATTTCCCAGGACTTTTCCAGGACATTTTCAGTGATAATCTCGCTGGTGACTGATCACTAATATGTTCTCTCTGCGAAAGTCTGTTTTTTTTAAATTGTGCAATCTGTGGCTATAACTTGAAATGAAATCATCGATTACATGCATAGAATTTATGACAAGTTGATCTTGTTCCAATGCTATGTTTAAATAAGGTTATTGTTTTTTTGTAGTGTTGCCATTGTTTTTTTTTGTTTTGGAAATCCATTTATATTCTATCCTTTTCTTATGAATTACATTTTAACCACTGCTGCCTGAACACCAATAACTGAACAGCCTACAATTTTGCCTTCTAACAATTCCCAGCATTCTGTTGAACCAGATATTTCTAAAATCACAGTATTGGATGTTTTACTTTTTCTCTCATTTTCCATGACTGTTAAATTGGTCAACTGTTTTCCAGGTTTTCCAGGACGCGTGGGAACCTTGCACTGTATATTTCTGAAACCTCGTCTCGCTTAAGTTTTCCTTTGTTAATCGCTGTCTCTATCATAACAGGAATGAAAAATGCCATGAAAACTACACCACAGATTTCATCTATAAGCTGTATTCATCAGAGGGGAAGGGTATCTTTGACTGCAGAGTCAATGTGTTGGGACACCTTCAGCAGGTACGGAGCCACCATACAACTGGCAAAACACAGCTTAGCAGTGACAACGGTATACTGTGAAGAGACAGAGTCTTGCCACATATTTATACTCAATTTGTGTTTGTGCTCTAGGGAGGGGCACCTTCTCCCTTTGACAGAAATTTTGGCACTAAGTTGGGTGTGAGGGCTGTCCAGTGGATTTCAGAGAGGCTGACAGAAAACTTCAGACAAGGTAGAGATGATGTATAAAGTCATAGCTGACAGGAGTAAATTGCTCTGAAAATCAAACCACTGTGATTTTGTTTGTTTTCCCACCAGGCCGCGTGTTTGCCAACTCGCCAGATACAGTGTGTGTTCTTGGCCTCAACAGGAAGGTCATCTCATTCATCCCAGTTACTGAACTGAAGGCTGCGACTGATTTTGAGTAAGCAAATACAGCTTTCTCTTAAATAACAATTCTTAATCAGTGTTAATATGTAAATTATGCCTCTTTTTTTTCAGGCACCGGATGCCCACGGTCCAGTGGTGGATTAATCTTCGGCCGATGCTAAAAATGTTGGCCAAGTACCAAACCAGCTTCTGTGAATATGTCCCAGGAGAGCTTGAACATGTGACTCGACGCTCCATCAGCATAGACTCTGGGTTCTAGGCTCTCCAATGCAACAGTATGCTCTTGGCACTTTTTAATCAGTCCATCCTTCATTTTTACACAAACTATATATTTTAAGAATGGTTTTCAATCTGCTGCTGTGCAAGACTGAAGACTTTTCAAGCCAGCATTGATCCCAGTCTGTTGTCAGCATCATAAATAATGTAGAATTTTACTTCAAGTATTCATTCATTGAATGATTCAATACAGAACTGATTTTGCTATTTTCATCACTAAGCGAGGCCTTGTAAAGCCAAATCACTGCCTTAAAAAGATAACCAAGTGTGCCATGAAGCCAAAAATTTGTTAATGTACAATTGAAAATGTTATATAACGTAGATTGCATGTGGTGTGATATTAATGGTTTGCTTACATAATCAAATATAATCAAAATATTGACTTCACTAAACCATAAATAATCTGATCAGGAACCTCAAGTAAAATTTATGTGTATGTACCTGGTTTCATTAGCTAAATTGTGAGCTGCTATATTTTAGAACTCCTCTGTGACTGCACAAAAATTAATTTAAGTGCCCCAGTGGTTGGTTTGAGAAACTCTTCTGATACATGTTTAAATCTGTCAGAATGTGACCGTGACTCATGGGACCAGTGAGATGTTTATTTTCTTTTATTTATACACTGTCTACGACTGAATGTAGTTAGAATTAGTTAATGCAAATCACAGAATAACAAGACTCCATTAAACTTCACAACTACCGTACTTATATAGAGAAATCTGTAAAGACAGAAACATGAACATATGTTTTGTATTATTTTGATACTTATGCAATATATTCAGTAAAATTTTATTCAACAGTAATAATAGAATTATGTTCATTGTGGTGTGAATGGCACAATAATTACAACACAATAATTATTTAGTGTTGTTAAACCTTGAACCCTTACCTAAGGTGTTTGTCATAACCCCAATATATGAGAACATTACTGAAGAAATAAGTAACAAACTAGTCTTACAAACACAACAATGTCAGCATTTCAGATGAACTCTAAAAGTTGAATGAAAATGTAAAATCCTCACTGGTGTTCTCTTTGTTAGATGTCTGATCGCTCTTTGAGGTGAAGGCAAACTGGAAGTCTTCACTTGGCTCTTGTTGGCCAAACGGGAACTCAGAGCCTGAAAAATCATACACATACCTGTAGGTCAAAGCAGGTAACACACATCACAAAAACAGATTTGATACTTACAGCTTGAAACCTCTGATTCTGTGGTTTTCTGGAAAGAGATGAATATATTTTGGTGTTTTGGTTTATTCTAGTAATACTGCATGAAATAAAGAGGGGTTACAGTGAAAGTAAAATACCTTTTCAGTGAAAAAGGAACCGGTGAAAGCGAAAGATGAGTCCTGTAAAGAAACGGGAGGTAATTCCAAAACTAAGAAACTGAAATTCTGTCAAATCACTTTTTCGTTTTGCTCACTCCTCACCTCATCCTGTGATGAGCCAACATCAAAGCCAAAGCCAGGGAAGCTTGGGGTGCTGGGATCAGAGTTCAGAGAAAACAGGAAAGCTGGAGATTTGGTAGCAGAGATCCCTTGATGTGGGGAGCTGCCAGGGCTAAAGCTGAAACAGCAACACAAAAACAGTTCTTAGAAGCTGACTTAACACTGAGTCAAAGTGTTGGACAACTCAGACAAAGCCTTACTTAAATGGAAATGTTGGAGTTGAAGGCACAACTATTGTTTTCGCAGGAGAGGACTGAGGATTATTTTCCTGAGATGATGACTGTCGAAAAGCAACAAGTTCCTTGTTGCCCTCTTCGTTTGGTACCTGCTCTTCCTCTATAGCTGGTCGTTCCTCCATCTCCTCCTCCACTGCTTCATCTATGTCTGAAGCAGTGGAATGCTGTTCCTATGCAGAAAACACCTTGAGTTTAAAAGTATTTCCAAGATTGAAAACCTCTGAAATTCCATTTACAGTGTAGACCATTATGGCACTGTGTTTTTATTGGATACAATCTGATAAAACTGATTTTTAGTTTAGCTGAGAGGCTGAAATATCCTGACTTTAGTCACTAGTATGGGCCAAACAAAAAAAACCCACCCTAAATTTCCCATTATGCACCTTGAAAGTATTGATTATTAGACCCTCCCTGTCTGGTAAACGTCCATGTCTTTCAAACCTCACACCCACAATTTGTTGCGCAGGTTTGTCCTTACAAGTTGGTAGTCTGCAAGCCTCAGTCGAGACAACTCTGATGACATCATTCGGGTTATTTTTTTGTGTTTAAAACAGGCCGAATAGTACTCCTTGTAACTAGAAACTGATGATAACTTAAAATCGGTGTAGTGTCCCATAATTAAAAGGCCTTTTTCCTTCCATTTTTTTGGGATGGATACAGTTGTCTTAATGGTGGAGATCTCAAAACCAGTACCCAAAAGACACAGTACACCAGGCAAGATACTAGCAGGGCTAAGAGGGAAGTGTTTTTTGGTCAATTGGGAAAACTTTAAGGTAAGTCTAGGACTAGGTATAGTAGAGAAACATTACCAAGACCGGGTCCAGTGGTCCAGTTTCCTGGTCCTGCTCGTCAGTGTGCATCACATCTGGCCAGCCTTGTTCTGAAATAAATAATCTGCTAATGGGGTTTGGTGTAACATAAACATCCAAACACGAAAAACATGCCATGTGTGTAAAGTGCTGTCATTAGCTGGAACATAAAGGACTTTGCTCTTCTTACCTTCCAACTGCTCACATGGCCACAGCTCATTGCATGCTTCTTCTGGGGAAGGACTGCAGGCAGCTGTATCCTGAACCTTGTTTTCCTCACAAATTTCATCATTTGCCTCTATTAAGGTTTTATGACCAATCTTCAAGTTTGTAAAAATGTAAAAAAAAAAAAAAAAAAAGAGATTTTACTTTTCGAAAGTGCTAGAATTTCGTCAACTCTGCAGTGCCATTAGTATTGCTAGATGTATCCAAGTACCTTTGTCTGGTTGAGATTAAGAGAGGAGATGTCAATAGAAGAATCACTTTTCTCCTCTGTCTGAGAATCTAATTGCTTGTCTGGTTCTGTAATGGGCTGCTGGCCAGAAACACTAGAAAGAAAAGACTCGATCACAGTAATACTGAACTTTGCTGGAGGCTATGCGTAATTATTCTTTGTTATCTAATGAAAGATTAATGAAAGATACCTGTCTGGTAATTTCTCAGTGGAAGAAGAATTTACTGCTGGACCTAGTCAAGCAGAAAATAAATTAACTATTTAAAGAGCTGTACATATTTCAGATCCACCAGAGCAAGTTGTGATGATGTAAAATGTTTATTACCAGTAAGTCGGTCCAGCTCCTTCAGTTTCATTGTTATTCGATCATCACAAGCCTTGATCCTACACTCAATCTCCTCTTTTTCATCCTGCAGCGTGAGGAGCTTTTGAGCAAGAGGATTTTGGTAATAATATTCTTTATGCGTCTGGAATATCTTCTTATAGCTTGCAATTCTCTCTTCGTAGACTTCCCTTGTTGGGTTACAAATAAAGAACAATTATGCTATTTTCATCACTGCCCACAACAATGTATTTAAACACAATTAAACACCACTGAACCCACTTGTCACGGTTGTAGCTGGCTTTTCTGCTCTCCAGTTCTTCTTTCATTGTCTGCTCATACTGAAGAAGCAGGCTGTTAATCGCCTTCATGCTAAAATCACATGGATGACAAGCAGTAATATATGACTATCTATACCACACTGCACTGTTTACCTTAAGTTAAATGTAAAATTGAATTATGTATCAGCTTGATCCATCATTGTTTGGCCTATGTATTAATGTTAGCTAGTCATCATACCTTTTACAATTGTCTTTATTGTGTATCACAGAGTTCTGCTTCACCCTGATTTCTAGCTCAAGTCTCTTGGTATTTCTGCGGATTGTTTCAATGTGAGACCTTTTCTCAGCAATGTCAGCTCTGCAAACTGTTGACAAGAATTGGAATACTTTATAGACATCATTAAACAACATAAAATCTAACCTTATGGTGATAGTTACACCAATTTGCTTGTCTTTCATACAAATGTCAAATTAATCCTACTAAGAATAATTACTGTTGGACATACCTTTAATTTGTTCGTTGATTGAATTCTTCTTTAGGGAAAGTTCCCGAGTTTGAAGAGCTATAAAATATAACAGTTATCTTAGTGTTATCTTATTTGAAAAAAACTAATGTTTTATTTTATATTTTCAATTCAACTTTATTGGACTTTACTGCCATGGGGAAAAAAATTAGTGGTTTGTCAGTGGTAGCACGTTAGTATTAGTATTATTATTAATAAAAATTAGTAGTGTTATTATCTCTTCACTTAATTAGCTTAAAGTTAAGATAATGTTAGTTTAGTTAAGGAACTCCAAAAATAGCTTGCTTACTAAGTTATTGACATTTGTTAGCCAAGCAGTTAACGTTAGCTTAACCTTTTACATTGTAAGCCAAGCAAACATCAAATAAGAGCAAAACTACAACTGTTAACCTACAATAAACTCAATAACTGAACTCACCAAATTCAAAAAGGAGGCTGTCAATAGTATTAAGTGAAATTTCGTTCATTTTTGCACCAGCCTGAGTTCAGCCACATTAGCAGACTCCTGTAACGTTACCAACTGTCAACGGCCACTTTCTCGACGGCATTCCCAACAGCAAGGTTGCACAGATTTATGGGCGTGGAAACAAACCACGCTTGTGGGTCGTACGCATGCGCAGAACCGCTAAATTGCACTTCTCGATAGGTAGCATAAATCGACAGCACACCTGGCTGCTGCTGCTGTCAACGGTTCAAACGTTCACCCTTTCAGCATAGAAGAAACGTCGCGTTATTCGTTCAACTCTGTGATCTTATGGATGGAGTAACAAGGTATTCATATTGTAACATGTTATTTTATTTAAGAGAACCTGGATATATGGGTTATTATTTAGTTACATGTCAATTGGATGAACTGAACAGTAGAGTGACCATGACTGTACCCCCCCCCAACACTGAATGACTGAATAAATGAAAAATTATTGTGCATTTTGGTTTATATGAAAACATGTAAGTGTCAGTAGCCTAATATAAATAGTGAAATGTTGTGTAACTTAATCATAGCCAATATTCAACTGAGGGAATGCATACTTTAAGTTACACAATTAAAAAAAAAATACACTTCATTATATGATTTTAATTTCTTTTTAGTTGACATATAGCCTATCATTTCTGTTATTCTCTGGGACAGTGCTTTTCATAGACATAGATGGATGTTTTGGTCCATCTTTTTTCCCCTCATGTTCACATGACGGCAGTTAGGATCCTGGATGGCTGGCAGAGGATAGATGGGCGGGTTTTGTGCTATTCTGGAAATCATTTTGCGTAGCGCATCTGTATCAGCGAAAAACAGCGCTGTGACGTGTGGGCTCCCGAGATGTGTCAGGCAAATGCAGCGATTTATCCTCACACTGTATAGTTTATCTACCCGGTGCTTGTCCAACCTATTGAAGGTAAGATTGAATTTAAATTCTTGTTAGAGTACATCTTGTTCGCCGCCTGGCGTCTGCAGACAAAAGAGCGGACATGGGTGGGATTTAAATGGGAGGGGATCAGCTGTGTGAAGAATGGGTTTCATTGTCGATTTCGCTCCCGCTTCTCATAGTATGCATTCTTTTGGAAAATCACTACAATCCGTCTATGGATTGTGTAGTTTTTCTGTCGTTATTCCTATAAAGGGGATAGGATGATACACTGAGGTCGCAGCATATCCAGAGGATCGTTGTGCTGTCATGCAAAAGAGAGACCCCCCCCCCCCCCCTTTAAAATAATCTATCATGCTTTGTTTGGCTTCCATCTAGATTGATTTCGCATCTGTCTGTTCAGATACAATGCCATCAGATCAATTATTATGTGGTATTTGGTAGATTTTATCAGTCATAATCACAGAAAAGGCAGGTGCAGAATCTAGGCCAGGATCACTGTACATAGAAGATTACATTTTTGTCACTGCTTTTTAATGGTACTTTCTGTGTGTGTGTGTGTGTGTGTGTGTGTGTGCGCGGGCACTTTTATCAGGTGTTCAGCAGCGGACATCTTCCTTAGATTGAAAACAATGGGCGGACATTGCTTGTGCTGCTCAGGACTGCACTATTAGCCTCCATAAATAACCCATTAAAAGTAGCTTAAGAGTCAAAGAGTTTACTGGGTCAGGTGAGAGCATGGCACAGGTAGAGGAGCCTCAAACGGAAGGAGAGGGCAGCCCCCAGATGATCTCTTTAAGGTCAGACGTATCAGGGAACCATGTGGACGACGGAGAAGTGGGACCCTCCATAAGGAGGAAGAGGAGGAAGAAGAAAGACCCACGTCCAGAGTCCATTATTGTGTACCGCTCTGAAATGGAGAGGGCGCCTGGAGAGGACCAAGGTGGTGAGGAGGGAGCAGAAAGGAGCGCAGAGGAGGGAGCTAAATTCCTCTCTACACCTACAGGCGAAGGTGAGAGGAGTGTCAGAATGTCTAGTTTTACCAGTTCAGTCATATGTTTGCCCTATACAGTGCAATTATTTTGTATTTTTTGAGCTGCTGCTGTTTGTCTAATAAGACAAGAGGATAGATAAGGAAGGGAACCTTATGTGGTGTGGTTTGTCATAAAAGTAACTGTCTTATCTCATATTGTTTCTTAACAGGAGGAGGCTGGAGCCTTCCTCCAGATAGCCGCTATGTAACCCTGACTGGCACTATCACGCGTGGGAAGAAAAAGGGTCAGGTGGTGGATATTCACCTCACTTTGACAGAGAAGGAACTCAGGGATCTGGCTAAGTCAAGGGAACGTCTTGACGCCGAGTGTGAGGCAGGGGAAGGCTCTAAACGCACCTGCAGCTTAGGTGTGTGCGAGGGACCCCATGTCGTCCTGTGGAGCATCTCCTGTGCCCCTGTGGTTTTCCTCCTCTCCTTCATCACCTCCTTCTACTATGGCACTCTCACCTGGTACAATGTCTTCCTGGTGTACAATGAGGAGCGGACGTTCTGGCACAAGATTACAATATGTCCCTTTCTCATCATCTTCTACCCCATGCTCATCATGCCCATGGCACTGTCTCTGGCTCTGTACTCCGCTGTGGTTCAGGTGTCCTGGGCATTAAGTGAGTGGTGGCAGGCTGTGAGAGACCTGGAGAAAGGCTTCTGCGGCTGGGCCTGTGGGAAGCTGGGATTGGAGGACTGTTCCCCATATAGCATAGTAGAGCTGCTTGACTCTGATACTGTTTCTGGCACTCTGCAGAGCAAGGCCCCCAGTGAACTCGCCCAGACATCATCAGTGTGAAGTGGGGGGGGATGCACAGTGATTCACCTAAGTGGTTATGTTTGTCCATTTTATTTTATTTTATTTTTTTTACATGTTATGGTTGTTAAAGTTATCCTCCAATCACTGAATCCTTATTCAAATACCTTTTGATACATGTGGGCTTTGGTTCCTCCTGTAGTAACGTTTAGGTAAACCAGCTGTGGACACTGATACACACATAGTTGGAGGCCTGGAAGTTAAACCAAGTTTCACTTTTGTCTGTAAATATCTGTAATTAAGTGGATGTGATCACTGTGCTGTGCACAGACACAAAAAACAGCATTCATTTCAAATGCAACACTGTCTTGTATGACTGTGCAGCCATCACAATCACTCAGTGAAGTTGTTTTTGAAGCAAGGCTGGATTACCAGTTGGAAAAAGTGGAAGGATTTACTTTGTGGAAATATACTTGATTACTAATTTGAGGAATATGCTCCACTGACTAAAACAATAAGCACCTTTAGATGGGTACAACGTTTTGTAACAGGATTCAGTGTCAGCATCTACTTTAGTTTTTAAAGGATAAAGCTGATGTCCTTCATATTTATCCTACTGTCAACAAATTCCATGAAAAGACCAAAACCGCTAATGTAATGTATCAGTCCTACTCTCCAAGCCCACTAGTAGATGTAAATCTTTCAAAAATAGGCCACAGATATATAGTTTAAGGCTTAAAAGTTATGGCCACTGTAGTTTTAAGCAAATGTTTAACAGGGGTAAATAGTACATTTGTGGGGACTATTTTCAGTTGGGGATTAATGCACATTTAGTGCTCCAGTGAGTATTTTTCAGCATGTATGTGGGATTGATTCAAAATAAATTACAGTGTTCATAGTAAAGGAACATGTCATGATGTGTCACGATGTGGCTCGGAAGAGTAAGTTACTTCAGGCTTTGGATACATAGGAAATGATTTATGAATTAAGAATGATTTAAGAATTATTGTGAGCCAGGTTCAGGTGTGATGAAGAAGTTTCGGAGACTGATGAAGACTTTACATGGTTTATTGAGCCCGGCTGAGGAGATATAGTGCCGGCATACAACATGTGAAAACATCAAATTCCAACACCAAATCTCAGGATAACATCTTTTGGTCACTTTTATGTTTCTGTCTTCCCCCTAGTGCCTGTAACCTAGAACAACAAATCTATGTGATGTTTATTCTCCAATGCTACATCATATTGGAATCTATTACTACTCATGAGTTGTACTCTAATCTGTGGAGCCAGTGAGTTCTTGTAAACATTGTAAGACTCAACCTTGCCAGATTCCCAAGAGAACACGATATCTGCTAGCCTGATGCCTGAGCTGCTGTCTCTACCTCATCAGTCTAACGGTCGTCTCCCTAACAAGGACAGTTACACGAGAGAAATAACTAGAGCTGGAAGGTCAGTGAACACTTGTGAGGTCAGCTAATGACTGCAAGCTAGACCTGCCTTACCTTTCCCTGTTTCATCATCAAGTAAGCCCCCTAAGCAATATCTTTAACAGGAAATACTTGTTAGAGGTATTAATCCACTATTGATTTAGGTCTTTTTATGGGTTTTGCTAAAAATTACAAACATATAGAATATTAACAGCCTTATTCTTTTAATACCTGTATTCTTTCATGTGATATAGTGTTTAAATGGTGCATATTCCCTAAAAGATTTATATTTCATCAAAAAGTACCCAGGAAATTAGTACTTGTTGGTTTTTGGGCTTCGAGCTAATTATAATTAAGCTTCCATGTGTAAACTGCAGTGTGCTTTCTACTTGATGTACTTGTACAGCAGGTACAGAGAACATAAACCACGTATAAAGGGACAAAGGAGGAGGGATCGGGGCCTATGGCTTATTTTCTTCGCCAGGACCCCCTGGCAGGTTGATCCAGTCATGATGTGAAGCCATAGTGAGGACAAGCTGACAAATCAGACATTTTTTTTCAATGTCACATACTAACATACTATTAAGGCACCATCAACACAGAGGTGTGTGATGTTACACTCTTTAGCTCTGCTTGTGTTGTCTTCACAATTTTGGTTCACACGAGTAAACTGAGGTTGCCAGTAATTTTCCATCAGAGAGCTCCTACTACATTTCCATATGGTTTATGTTGATTTAATTTATTTTAAATATTTATGTCTAGTTCATTGCCTGAAATGTTTGTAGCTAGGGGTTTTACACTCTGGCACTTGAAGTAAATGTATTGTAAACAGCTATCATTAACTGATTGAAATACATGGCGGATTGGGGATGGTTTAAATACTTGGTGATTTAAATGTTTATCATTTGCCCTGGCTCGGTAAAACTAATGCATTTTGTTCCATACAGATGCAGACATGAATAAGTGGTTGTGGATTGAGTCTGTTTTCCACATTACCTGTTGTGAAACCACAGGATTCATAGTAAAGACTCACACAGATGAAAAACCGTGTTAAATCATTACATCGTCTATATTGTGAAAGAGGAACAGCATCCTATTTCGTGTTATTAAAAGAGCAATGCACAGCGCACTGTTCTCTGTGTGGTTTATAATGTCTCTTAGAAAAACAAGTCAGCTACTACATGGTGCACACATGCAGATGGCTCTCTGGGGTTTGGGTTCCTTGAGACCTGATTATCGGCCTCCTGGTGTTACATTCGTGTGCTTACTGAAGAAAACCCATATGCCCGATTGCTAAATACAGTATGTTAGAGAAAAGCACTCTCAGGGCCAACACACATTCCAAGACTTGCACTCAGCCTGTTTTACTGTCTGTTATTTATTAAACTAATGTTAAAACAACTGAAGGTTAAAACACACAACACAGTAGATGGGTTAAAACCACACAAATGAAGCGGGGTCATGGCTACTGTATGACAGAGGACATAAGGTCATGTGCTTAGTAATTTTTCTGGGGGGGTATTTTGCCAAAATAATTGTAAAATCCAATTAAAAAGAGTAAATAAAAATTAAAAAGAACATTTTACATTTTGGGTGTAGTAGTCTTGGAGTTTGTTGCGTATTTATGTTTGTTTATATGTTCATTCATTTGTATTAAACTGGTTTATTTATTTATTGTGTATTTCTTTTTACTGTATTAAATTATTCGTTATGTATTTATTTGAATGTATGTATTTTTATTTGACCTCAATATTTCTTAAACTCTACAGCCGTGAAATGTGCACAGACGACACCCATAATTTGCACAGTACCAGGGTATGAAACGCTGCAGGGCGTTTGACCTACATCTGCATTTTATTTCACTGACTCGTTGCAGGCTCAATAACACCACGAATTACAATACCACCGTCTGAAACAGGTCCAGTATGTCTCGGTAAACAGGTATTTCGCGAATTACTGCGAACAAGGAACAGTAAAAGCTCGTTACATTACCTGCGGAACAATTATCGCTGTAAACAGGAACCTCTTTTTTTTCCTGCCGCTCACTGTTTCTTTCCGGGGCCATAACAGAGTTACAAGCAGTCTTAGGAGGAGGGAAAAGAGAAGATGGCAGGCACTAAAGTAAGTATATATCTCTTATTTATTATATGTTGTGTACAGTCTCGTTAGTTAATGTTTCTTGTTTGAAATGGCGATTTCTAAACGTTAGAAGCAAATTGTTGTCTTTCGTTGAGCTTCAGGTGTTTGACGTTAGCGTTGAGATATGTCGAGACATGTTGGGACTGAAACAAATGCTGTCACGCCCCCTGTGTATACAAAACTGTATCTGTATTAGATACTAGTTTTAACAGCGGGATTACAATTGGATACTTCAAATAAGACCTATTGAAATTTTTAAATGCAATGTGTTGATTAAAAACAAATCGCCTTGAATTAAAACTGTGTTTCCTGTAGTCAGCATTAGTTTTGTGCATGGATGTTGGGTTCTCCATGTCCAACTCTGCCCCGGGTGAAGAGTCTCCCTTTGAACTTGCCAAAAAAGTCATCCAGAAGTTCGTCCAGCGCCAGGTAAACTTCTACTACACATTCGCAAGAAACAAACAAGATCTATTTGGAGGATTTCTATCACCTTTGACACACATTTAAAAATGTCTTTTGTCTCTTTTAACAGGTTTTTGTGGAGACCAAAGATGAACTGGCTTTAGTTCTGTTTGGCACCGACTCCACCAAGAACCCACTGGACCAAGATGGCCAGTACCAGAACATCACGGTGCATCGTAACCTCATGGTGCCTGATTTTGAGCTTCTGGAGGAAATAGAGAATCAGATCCATCCCGAGAGTCAGCAGGCTGATTGTATCCTTTAGCTCGATGCTTTCACCAGTTTATCAGCTAACTTTTCAGGTATGTAAGTGTTAGGGTACATTTAGTGATGATTTTCATTTAACAGCAGAATGATTGGCACCAATTCTAATTATTTTCATTATCAGGTCACATTGATCAGTGTTGTGAGATGACTTTTATCAGACCCACCTTCATTTTATTGGCTTTTTATATGATTTTAAAAATTGTTTTGTCATACATTTAATTTTTATTTGTTTTGTTTGGTTATTTTATCCATTAACAATTTTGAAACCCAAAACACTGAGGTTATAATTATATTAAATAGATCAAAGAAAGTTTCTCTTCTTGTTAGTGAAGATCTAAGCAACACATGTTCAGATCAATATTAGTCATATTGGAAATGATCAGTTTTAGCTTGACTGAGTCATTGTTCACGTGTCTAAATTTCAGAACTAATGGCTATTAATGACTCATGAGACTAGATCTCAATCTCCTGTGTTACGTGTTTTTATCACTATGTGCTTTTAATGTACAATAAAGCAGACAGTTTGTGAGAGTTTTAGGCGAAGCCTGACTCTTTTGCGCTTGTATTCATGAGTCAGCTCCTTTTTGTGTAGAGCCTGATATTCTGAGATGATGTGTGAGAATCCATTAGCTCCTTAACTCCTCTTCATCAGGGCTAGATGCTCTCGTTGTCTGCATGGATCTTCTTCAGACAGAAACAAAGTATGAAGCTGCCTGTATCTCAAACATTATTCTCACTATTCACAGAAAAAGACAGACTGTTGTCCGTGCAGTTTAATGTGAATTCTGTTGATGGGATCATTGTTTTTTTGATGATATGACGTGCTTGGGGTTTCTTTTCAGGGGGAAAAAGTGTGATCGTCTCAACATTGTCCTCCTGACTGACCTCAACACTCAGGCCAGCCAAGAGCAGCTGGACGTTATTATTGAAAACCTGAAACAAGCTGACATCACCCTGCAGTTTTTGTAAGCTTCAGACATAGTCACTAAGTGTAATTTTAAAGCTATCTGTCTTAATATATATAAAAAATTGCTTATAGATAGCTATCATATTCACATCAGTGTCAGTGAACACTAACAACAGCCCCTCCAGCTCTGCTGCTTGTTGCCCTCCCTGCTCCTCTAATGGCTACTTTGCTAGAGGTTACTGTACTCTCCAAACAATAAAATTACATTTCATTATGATGTGCCGGATGCACCAGTGCCGTCATTACCAAGATCTCACCCGCAGATATAGAAGCCTCACACATTTGCCCAGTGAGGTTATAGAATATTAAGTAAAATCATTATTTTAGTAATACAGCTATATCCCTTAGTACTTATTTTATTATAATAGCAGCCAATTGACTTATAACAGCTATGAATGAGAGCTTGCCCGGGGCTCTAAAACATTCAATGTGCAGCATCGAAATCAGGCTAATTGTGGAAGATATTTTATTTAGCTAATTAGTGGTATTTTGATGAAAAATGCATGCTGCTAACATTTTTTATTTTAGTATATATACAATACTTCACCAATTTTCTACTCTAAACTCATGTATTTTCAGTTTGCCTTTTCCTGTGGAGGAGGACGATGAAGAGGGTGGAGGAGATGGGGACAGGCGAAGCCCCGGTCACCCGGGCATGGGTAAAGGTCTGTCCGGGGAACAGAAGAATGGCCTGGACATGGTGAAACACATCATGCTGAGCCTGGATGAGGAGGAAGGCTTGGATCAAATTTACTCCTTCAGGTGGGAGAGCTGGATATTACTCTCTCATATTACATATGTTTTTTCCTCTCTGAATCACAGGGTTCTTTCTACATTTTAAAAATAATGAATGCTCTAATCAGATGATTTCATATGACTTGGCTTTCTATGTGCTTCACTCCCACTGTAGGAATGCAATCGAGCAGCTGTGTATGTTCAAGCGTATTGAGAGGAGACCCATGGCCTGGCCGTGTCAGCTGACCATCGGCGGCTCTCTGTCCATCCGTATTGTTGGATACAAAGCAGTGAGTTTACTGTGAAGTGCACTGGATGAATAAATACTACATGCTTATTTACACAGCTTTATTGACTGACAAAATGCTGAGTTCTGTCATGTCTGAAAATGAGGTGCTGCTACACATGTTATCATAAGCTTTGATCTTGTTCTTTATTCTGATCAACTAGTGACACCTTGTGGCAACAATGTATTCTGCTCATTGATTACTGCAAATAGTGTGAGAATTTTTAGTCAGATGTTTGTCATGTTTTATTTGTTTGTAACAAAATGACTAAAATTATATTTTGATGATTATATCATAAATACCAGTATGTCTCTTTTTACATATCGCATAGTAGTTTGGTAAATTTGTAGTATGCTCATTGACTTGCTGCATAGGTAATGAATTTTTCAAATTAGTTTCACTAATATTGCGTCATGTAAATACAAAGATGTAAACTCATCAGTAACAGTCATATGAAGTTCTCGTCCACAAATACTGCGAACTACTGTATTCCAGGTGACAGAAGAGAAACTGAAGAAAACGTGGATAACAGTTGACGCTCAAACTACCCAGAAAGACGATGTGAAGAGAGAGACTGTCTACTGTCTGGATGATGACAATGAGACAGAGGTGCAGAGGGATGATACCATCCAAGGTGAGAAAGTTGTTTTGAAATCTTAATGATGTTGTACTTATTACTTAATAACACTCTAAAAACTTTTTTTTCCTTTTACAGGTTTTCGTTATGGAAGTGATATTGTTCCCTTCTCCAAAGTAGATCAAGAGCAGATGAAATACAAGCACGATGGGAAGTGCTTTGCTGTTCTCGGCTTCACCAAACAGAACATGGTATTGCACTTTATATATTAGTATGATGTACACGGCATCTAAAAAGTATTTTAAGTAAAACAAATCCCAAGTAATGTAAACCTAAAACCTTTAGACAGAGTTACTTTAATCACCTACTATTCTGTTTTTTTACCGTCCGCCTGCAGGTACGTCGCCATCAGTTCATGGGGAGTCAAGTAGTCAAGATCTTTCCTGGCAAGGACGATGAGGTGAGAATGGAGAGAAACGCTCCACTGCTGCGGACTACAAATAAGGATTATTATTACATGTTGATACTGACCTGTTTTTGTTTCTGCTGTTCTGTCTGAGAAGCATGCGGAAGTTGCGCTGTCCTCTCTCATCCGAGCGCTAGATGAGCTCCAAATGGTGGCCATTGTACGTTACGCCTATGACCGGCGCAGCAACCCTCAAGTAGGAGCAGCCTTCCCGTGCATCAAGCGGGACTATGAGGTGAGGTCACGGACTCCTAAACATTGCTGTTTTCTAGAATTATCACTGAGTCTGTGTCAAACACAACAGAGCTAATGATCCGTCTCTCACCCTCAATAGTGTCTGTTGTACGTCCAGCTGCCCTTCATGGAAGACCTCAGACAGTTTACATTTCCTTCTCTTGAAAACAACAAAAAGTTCACTCCGTCAGGTACTGTTTCTGCACGTCCAGCTTATCCAAAGTTTTGGTGTAAGTTCTTTTTAGATACAGAACACCTAATTTGCTTGCACCTAACTGGCAAACTCAGACATTGATGTTTAACTGCAGATTCTCCACAAGAGGGAGCTTTCTAATCATGATCACAGCAACAGCTACAGTATTTAGACCTGCAGGTGTGAACATGACAGTGTTGCCCCCTTCAGAAAGGAAGAGCTGCTGTAGTTTTAACTCTGTTTCAATCAGGTTCCTTGCATGTGGCTAGCACACGCACATCAGTGTGTGATTTGCAGTTCTGAGCTGATGCCTGCCACTGCTCTTATGTAGTTTAAATGTGGCACAGGTTCAGAACTGCAAGACTGATTCTGGCTGGCACTGCAGCTCTACTGTTTGATAATAAAGAAGATATAATGTATAGAAAAACAAGTTAGAAGAAGTCACTGAGATGGAAGAATTTACTTTTGTGTGTTATGTGATTCCTCTAGACACCCAGCTGTCAGCTGTGGACTCTCTCATTGACTCTATGATGCTGGTAGAAGAGGATGAAAACGCAGAAAAAAAGGACCTGTTCAAGGTCCACCACATTCCAAATCCTGCCTTCCAGAGGCACTTTCAGGTACTGCAGTCCAGTCTGTATTTAGATCCAGCACTCCTATTACTTATTTATTTTGAGATGAGGCAGATGGCAAAGTTTTGAAGGAGACAGGGGTTTCATTTTTAGGTCAGTGACATTACAAAAAATTAATTTAAAACATCTTATATCTAATTAGAGCTTCACCAGCTAGAGGCTGTTTTTTTCACATTTAACCAGGATTGCTTCTTTCTTAGTCACTGTCTCACCTCCACGACCCAACCTTTCTTTCAGTGTCTGCATCATCGGGGAGTAAGCCCCGGCACCCCTCTTCCCCCCATGGAGCCATGGCTGAAGGCCGTTCTTGAGCGCCCTGATGTTATTGGTGAACGTTGCCAAGCTCCACTGGTGGAGCTGAAGAGGAAGTTTCCTCTCACAGAAGTGGAGAAGAAAAAGCAGCTGAAGACTAGTGCTCAGATATTTGGCAAAGAGTAAGTTAGATTCGATGCTGTGGAGAGTCTTTGAACTTTCCAGGCAAGGCTGTGACGCAGTGGAAGTATTTGTGTTGTCTAATGTAGAAGCATTTGGAACATAATTTATTTAATGTCTTAAGCTGATGATACACAGGGCAACTTTTTGAGCAATGTTGCTGGGCAATGTTGCTGGAGGCAAGTCCGACTATGTTTTGAACGGATAGCAGCGGTGTGGGGCCGGTGGTGGAGTGGTGGGGGAAAGGGATTACGGTAGTAATCTTTACTCATTACCACTGATGGCAACGTTGCCCAGCACTATTGCTCTAAAAGTTGCTCCGTGTTTTATCAGCTTTACATAGTGTTTTGTGCCTGTGGTATGTGTGTGTGTATTTTATTTTTTTTTACTGGCTACAAAAAAAATTATTTTCAGAATTCTAACTGGCTTCCTTTTGCTATTTACAGCTCTGAGGAGCCCGAAGCCAAGAAGGCAAAAGGAGACGAAGAGGATGAGGAGTATAACCTGGCTGACATTGCCGAAGGCTCTGTTACTTCGGTGAGAATCAGGGGAGCTGGATGTCATAATAATCCTAGAGAGGGAACCACTTTCTATAAAAATCAGCCATTCCAAATAAAGTACTTCGCCACTTGTTTGAACAGACATACTTTAAAATTTCCATTTCACCTCACTAATGTCACTTAACCAGGTGGGAAGCGTGGATCCAGCCCGAGACTTCCGTACTCTGATCAGGCAGAAGACTGTTGCATTCGGAGAGGGTGAGATCCAGTTTTTGTGGCGAGCTGGCCTGATAAACATTTCTTGTGGTTGCGTGATAAACCACCGTGACTCATGTTCAGCCCTGGTAATTGTGTTTATCTTTTTGTTTGGTTGCGGTGACCTCCGTGTCCTCTCCAGTCTGTCAGCAACTGACTCACAGGATAGAGCAGTTGCTTAGCAACAAGAACACACACTACTACATGAAAAGCATCACCTGTATCCAGGCTTTTAGAGAGCAGTCCGTTAAGGTAAATAAACATTCACTGTCTTCCATTTGGGAAATGCGTGATGTGTTAGGGGGTTTGTGTGAATAAGCTTGAGATATCACAACACATAGTTTTGGCTTTGCTGTGGAGATTATCGGTCAACTCGAGAAGATTACAATGCGTGTTTTATTTCTCAAGACTTGAACCGAGGCCAGTTCTGGTGCGACTATGTGCTTATGTGCCTGTATATAGATGTGAGCTTTGGGAAACTCATAAACGGATTGTGAGTGTTTCTTATCTTTCGTAATTCAGCTGGGGAATGCCGATCTGTACAACAGCTACCTCCAGTCCCTGAAAAGAAGCATCCCAAACAGGGGGCTGGAGGTCTTCTGGGACCTGCTTGTTCAAGGTATGATAAGATAAGCCTCTTTACCCAGGGCTGCAGGATCATTCCTCCCTTGAGGTGAGATGGAATTTCCACATAATTTGAGTGCAAAATATGTTTTAAAAAAGGAGCTGGTGTGATGCTTAAAAATGTGATTTGGCCTGAAACACAAGTCTGCTAAAAAAAAAAGTTCAGTGTCTGTGGGCTTGATTGTTGCTGTTTGATTGACAGATGCAGTAACTCTGATCAGCAAGGACGAGGTTGAGGGAAGCACCGTATCCAAAAATGAAGCTAATCAGGTGATTTAATGAGGACGGTTGAGAAAAGAGCAACTATTTTTAACGAAGGGGATCTTGTGACTGTACTCCTACTGACTGAAGCCTATTTTGTCCTCAGTTTCTGGTTGCTGAGGAGAAGAAAGAGGAGGCGGCTGCACCAACAGCTGAAGATACCGGAGATGTAGATGACTTGGTAAGTGTTTTTGTCTTCTTTTTTTCCCTGTGACATTCCTTTTCAGGTTTTAAATATTTAACTGATGAGCCGTAAACTCATGTTAAAGCCGTTTCCTGTATATTTGCACGATGTGCCTCAGTGTCCGTATCTGATGATGTGCGTGGCCTTTTGAGACCTTAAATATAAACTCTCCAGTCTTACATGTTTTTTTTCCTCTTCCTGTGCAGCTGGACATGATGTAAGAAGGGAGGCAATGGGAGAGTCTGCAGTGGACATGCAGAGAAATGAGAAGAATGCAATCATTCAGCCTGGCCAGACCAAACCAGTTCAGCCGTCCATTGTTCCTCCTCCCACTTGGTGACCCCTGATACTTGTAACTGGTGATACAGAGCAACCGCATACATACTGCACAGAATGATGTTTGACCATTGTTTACACCAGTACTGTATAAATGACAACTGTTATGTACAGTATGTGAAGGGCTTTAAATGTTTTGTCATTTTCAGTAATATTGCATACACTGAGTGCTTTAAATCTCAAAAAGATTTTTGTGCTCTAGAAACCCCTTGTGATTGAACAGAAGACAGCACTGCCTTGTCCAAGAAACTGCAGGTTTATTATTTTAAATCAGTAAAGCTTAATGGTGTATGAAGAATGCTCGACTTGTCCTATGTTTTTGTATATAACAAAATGTTGAGTACAGTCAAAGTAGAAAAGCACAACGCTGTGAAATCATTTGCAAGTTGTGCAGTGCATAGTACAGCGTTAACCTGTATCTCGTGCTAGATGTAGTATGCTAGATTAACAGTAATAGCACCAGTATAATCTTGTGTCTCTAGTCTCTCTTTAACATACCCACTGGATGAAACGGTCAAACAAACTGGACCGGGACAAACTAGAGAAGTCTTTTCCTTTAAAGATGGCATCCTGGTCACCCATGGCCAGCTTCACTAGGACTTCTTGGTCAACGTCACTTCCTGTGGCTATCACTGTGGAGACGACCTGTGCCCCGCGCATGGCACTAACAGCTTCATCCAGGCTGTTGCTTTCAGTGACGCCGTCTGTGATGAAAACAAATGAAACTTCTGCGTTGCGTCGCGTCTGGCGAGCATTCCCTTTACCCAAGATGTTGTCGATGGTGTGGATGATGGCAGGCCCCACACTTGAAGAAGAGTCCATATAAGTCAAGCGTTTTATGCCGTCAGCGATGACGGCAGGTTCGTGTGTGAGAGAGAAGGCCACTTTATTCTCGTTGCCGAACTCCATCAGTGCCACGCGGGCTCGCATACGATCAGTCTGGCTCCGGGCCAATCCCAGAGTGTTTGCCACCTTCTGCACAAATTCACGGGCGTGCTGGAAGTTGTCCACCCCGAGGCGCTCTGAGCCATCTAGTAGAAATACCAAATCCACCGGCCGCTGGATGCATGGAGCTACATCAGGTGCTGTAATGAAAAAATACAAATCACACACAGGGCTGCACTCCATTATAACGTTGAACAAATAATCTAGCCACGAATAACACCTACCACTTTTACAGGGGAGATCAGGGCACACAATCACTGGCTCTGAAAGGAACATCAAATGGATGTGGGTTAGACAAATGACCCAAAGGACCAGTACTGCAATGCTGCTGTGTGTAACGTTACTGGTACAGGCTTACCGGGGCAGAGCACAGTCTCCATCGTCTGTATGAAATCATCAGCCACTAAGTCAATGTAACGCCTCATATTGGTGACACGTTCCTTCTTGCCGCACGCGATTGACCCTAGGATCTCATCATCCTGTTCCTTTTTAAACATATCACCAACCCCAATGGCGTTCACCACCACATTGGCGTCGTCGCAAAGGTACTTCAGCAGATCCTCATCGTCGCGTGGGTCAAAACGGCCATCTGTGATCACCACCACAGATACTTTGGCTCGGGCTCTCTTGCTATCCCTGATGAGGTTATCATAGGCAAACTTGAGGGCTGAGGGTGTAAAGGTGCCCCCAGCAATCCACTGCAGGTTCTTCACTGCCGTTTTAAAGGCAGACATGGAGTTTATGTTTGGGTCATCGAGACGAATGGCCTCAAAGGTCCCATTGTGGCTGAACTGTACAACTCCGACTCTTGTGCCTAGAAGAGGGCAGACGTCAAGTGGTGCGTTTCCAAATTTGTGAGTTCAGTTTTTAAAGATAAGGCTGGTGTTAATCTATAAATTGTTACGGTCAAACAAACAAATCCCACAAAAAGACCAAAACCAGAAATGTGTCTGTTTCTATTTACGAATTCTTTACCATGGTTGTAAATCTTACAAATATCTGGTTTGTGTTTTTAGCAAATGTTCCTGAAAGAGATGTAAATTGTGCATTTGTTTGTGGATTACTTTCAGTCACGCATTATTACATGCATGATGCTGTTGTATTTATGCCCATCATAGTGTTCATGTTTCTTTTGAAATGAAGCAGGACGTCACAGTGCAGCGGCTCAGTGGCTCATTTATGTGTTAGTTTGTAGACAACAGTGGAGGTCACATATCAGGCTTGGGCTACACAGGTTATACTTTTAAGTGCATAAAATAATCATTGGTTTTAGTCTTTCATAGAAAGAAAAGAAAAATATAGAATAGACTATTGCCAACTCTGTCCTTTACATGTGGTGCTTTATTGAAATTAATATGACAACAAAAACATTTGAGGTTTTGTGTTCACATCAGTTAGAATGTGAATTGACACCATTTACTGTATGAAGTTGGAAAATTAACTGGTGATACCCTTTGATGGCTGAAAATATGCACCACTGATGGTCACTACAGTCACAGTGTTAATGAAGACTGCAGCGCCAACATGGTGTCCTGTCCAAATGTTTTTTTTGGCTGTATCTTTAATGACGGATTAAGTGATTCACTCTTTGGAAACGGTTAATCTTTAATGACAACCTCTACTTCTTGTCAAGTGAAACCATGTCTGCAAAGTGATTTGCAGGGATGTCTGTGCTGTGTTTTTGCGTGACTGTACCGGTTTGTGAAGCAGGGTCGCTGGCCATAGATCCCAGCCTGTTGATGGTGTTGATAACAAAGTTCTTCTCCAGGGTGAAGTTTGTCAGTCCAACACTCTCTGAACTATCAATTACAAATACAATGTCCAGAGCCCCACAGCGCTTCTCACAGTCTAAGACAAAGGACAAGAACCGGATCAGGATGCTGAGAGATACTAAACAGTGAAGCTGTGTTCGATCGGCGATGATGTTTGCTCACCACAACAACCACACGTCTCTCTGATGTACGTCATGACGTCACAGTCCTGCAGTGACAGGTATGCAGGTTAGACATAGGGAAATATAATAAAGCATTTTCAAAACTGTAAGGCTTAAAGTAATATGAAAGAATGCATAAAGTCTACTCACAGTGAGCCCGGGATCTCCCGCTGGACCTGGTCCCCCCTGCGCACACACACACATACACACACACACGTGTGCACACACACACACACACAAAAAGAAAGCAATGCAATTGTATCTCAAATTTGCATGCATGGTCAAGTCATTATTTGAGTGGTTGTGCTGTTGCTCACATCAGATCCAGGGTCTCCTCTGGGTCCTCTCTCTCCTGGCTCACCAAACTGACCTGGCTCCCCCTGTGCAGAAAATCGTTTTCATTGGAAGTGACTCAGACTTCTGCATAATATAGCTCTTCTTTGGAAGTCATATTTTTTCGTAGTGATTTCTGCTTTTGATTAACCCCATAGTACATAAAACTTGTGTAATGACTCAACAAAACACCCTAAGCCCACAAATTCAGCAGATGTTAGTAAGTGTTCATGATGGTTTACATCTGACATCAAATACGTCACATTTCACTGGTCCAGCTGGTGTTACATGATCTCACTCACTGTATATTACATTCTGTCTAAAGGGTCATTTCACCAAAATGATAAAAGTAATCATGTGTGCTTAACCTGAAATGGTATCTGATCATCATTATCAATCTCAATACAAGAGATGTGAATGACCAACATCTCTTTCCAGAAACAATGTCCCTTAGTCAAGACAACCCACAGACCTTTTTTTGTTTAGTTTTCCTTGGAACTACTTTCTACTGGAGTTCTAATGAAAAGTGGTCACAATGAGGTCTGTGCATAATCCAGAGTACCTGCTACATTTTTTTTAAATTAACTTGCATTTGAGTGGTGGCATAAATCTCAGACACTTATCTCCAAACCTGGGCAATTAAAATGAAAGCTATCTGCAGCGCAAGATACCATTACTGGCAAGTTAAAATATGTACATAAGTTTTCATTCTGTTAATCTACATGTCCCTGGAGAAACACTTCCACTCCAAAACATTTTGATATTACTCTTACAGGTTCTCCTTTTATTCCTTTATTTCCAGGGTCTCCTTTGGCGCCACATTCACCTCTGCCCCCCCTGGGTCCTCTTCTGCCTGGATCACCTCTGTCTCCCTGGAAAGATCAGAGTTGCTTTACACTCAAGTATGCAGGATAAGCAAGAATTTTGTGAGGTAAACTGAACACTGTACAGTGGGTCCTCTCGGTCCAGGATAGCCGAATCCTGGTCTTCCAGGGTCACCCTTCAGTAGAAAAAAAAAACCATCAGTCACCAAGTGTTATAGTGTTCTGCATGATGAAAGTGACAAACAGAAAAGTTCTAGCCACCTTTGGTCCAGTGATCCCAGGGTCTCCCCTTGGTCCAGGATCTCCAGGGTTTCCCACCGTGCCCTGCAATCACAGAAAAAACTTTTGGTGAGAGTTGTATCATCTTTGGATTTCACAAACACACTTTCTTAATAATCCACTCAATCCACAAGCTCCAACAATGAGCATTTAGTGCTGATGATCAAGATGTTATGAAAACACACATTTGCTCCGGGGCCCCCTGGTTGTCCTGGCGGACCCCTAGGGCCTGGTAGTCCTTGGTCGCCCTAAAAGAAAGAGAAAGTAACAGAGAAAACTTAATTCATGGACTTCATCTTCACTCCAGCCCACATAGCCTACACAGAATTACTCATGCTGATGTGAATTTGGCAATGCATAGTACTGGACACACACACACACACACAAAAGTTTTCTTTTGCAGAAGAATTTCCCAGGAAAATGTGTTTTTATGATAACAGGCTGAGCTCAGTCTATTTTTGGCAGGATACCCAGTACATGAGGGTAAATCTGCAGTATTGGAGGTCTAAGGAAGGACTTGCTGAGTTCTTAAGAAGCTGCTGAGTCACCCCTCTGCCAAAATCCACCCACGGCATGATCCCCTCACCTTTGAGCCCTTGAGTCCGCCTTCCCCGGGCCGACCTCTGCCTCCCTGCGGCCCTCGTTCTCCCTAGAAAATAAATGAACGTGTCATGGTTTCACACCACATCATTAATCATCAAACAACAAATACAAAACACAACAGTAAACTGACAGCCATTTCTGTGGAACATTTGAAGGATTTTCCTGAGAATCTGTTTAGGAAATTGCCCACAGCTGAACGGAGTCAAATTATACAAAACATGCTAAGGTTTATTGTCTTTCTCTGTAAAGCCCAGCAGATATTTTAAATTCATGGGACTCGCCTGGCTCTCAGGCTGTTGAAATCTCTTGTAAGGTCAACAGAGTCCACTGCCATTTGTAAGCCTTTCCCAGTAAGTAGTTATTTGGCTTTCAGATCATTTGCTTTGTTTCCCTCATGTCTCTCTCCACATGTTAATTTTTACCACATTACAGTAAGTTAGGTCATATTTAAGATGAAGTTCTGTAGTCTGCTTTTTTTTTGCAATTTCTGCCCGATTGTGCTAGCAACAAATGGCAACAAACCTGCTCCAAAAACAAAACTAAAAATATTAAAATACATTAATGAATGTGAAAGCGATTAAAGTATATGATATAGCTTTTTTCTGAGCGCTGAACTTACCTTTTCTCCTTTTGGCCCATCAGGACCTTGTCCTCCCTTCGTTCCGATGTCTCCTCTTCTTCCCTGTTTATATTTATTTTATATTAATTCAAAACAAACTGTGGCAAATTCACAAAATGCATTTTCTTTTAAATAAAAGTGTTTAAAATACCTTTTCGCCTTTTGGTCCAGGTAAGCCAGGTTCCCCCTGCAACAGTTAATTTCAGAGTGTGCTTTGTAACATTACATTGACTCACTGTGGGATATACCGGACGTAATTATAAATTATATTTAAAATCAATTTTGTACCGGAATTCCCTTGTCTCCTGGCTGCCCTGGGTTTCCAGGATTTCCTCTTTCACCCTAGGGAACAGAGATTGAGTTCTGTGATTTTAAGTAAAGAAGAATTGTATTTCAATTATCTGTTGTGTTTTAATTTCAAGTTTACCATGGGTCCTGGATCACCGGGAGGGCCAATTGGACCTGATTTTCCAGGGAGGCCTGGGTCACCCTAAACAAACAAACAAAAAAGACATTAGTGTTTCCCAGAGGATGAATCCTAATGACTTTGGTGATTCTCAGACTTTCCCTCTAGCGCCACCAGCTGGTTGATATTTATGGTTTTGAGTGAAATGTCTCAACAATCTTTGGATTTCTGTTAAATTTGGTTCATACATTGATATGTACGTCTCCCCTTAGGATGGATTGTCATATATATATATATATATATATATATAGGAGAGCCCTTCGCTTTTCCTGTTACCATCAGGACAAAATTTGTCGAACTAACACTTTGCTTTTTGACTAAATCCCTGTAAAATTAATGACATTCCCGCCGGCCTCAGCAATACTTTTTTGTTTGGTGCTAATTAGCCTACACGCTAAGCTAAGATGGTGAACATATTAAATATTATACTTGCATATATCATTGTTAGCACATCAGTATGCCGATGTTGACATTTAGTCAACAAGTACAGCCTCAGATAGCTGCTAGCATGGCTTTAGATTCTTAGTTATGTTTTTATCCTGCAATACATTAAAGATAAGAGAAAGATGCTACTTTTTATTTAATACAGACCTTTTCTCCATTGTCACCAGGTGGCCCAGTGTCACCAACATCTCCAGGGTAGCCATCTGGTCCCTTTTACAGTCAAACACAAAATGATTAAGTAGTTCTGTAAACCAGTAAACTAATCTTGTTTAAGCCTTCTTATTTGGTCAAAACATACCACATGTAACATTTGGAGGTAGCAGTGAATACCTGCACCTTGAGAGCAACATGTGAATGTTATTGTGACTTACCTTGTCACCTGGATCACCTTTGCAACCAGTAGCTCCAATTCGGCCAATTTTACCCTGAAGATTTCCCAGAGACAATATCGTATCAGCATACTGAAAATGTTTGTCACGGTATACTATACATTTCATGTTGTCGTATGAAGACTCGCCTTTTGGCCATCAGTTCCATTCTTGCCTGGTATTCCTGCCACACCCTATAGTATTTGGATGTCAGTAAAAACAGAGAAAATTAACTCCAATATGCAAACATTGACAGTATTGGGTGTAGTAGGATAAACAAAGAAAACATACACGCAAGTATAACATTAAATCCTTTATTTACCTTTGCTCCAATTGCTCCGATATCACCCTGTTGAGGTACAGCAGAGCCATTAATCCCAACAGCATTTCATTCAACTTGACAGATGAACAGAAAATAAAGATTTATCTCTCACCTTGTCGCCAGTCAAACCAGTCTCTCCCTATATCAGAGCACAGAAGAACATGTTATTGAGATAAAGAATGACAAGTTTGTTAACTGTGCAGCACACAAAATCAATCAATCTGTGGGCCTCAGCAAACCTTTTGACCGGGTTGTCCGATTGGACCTTCAATGCCAGGATCGCCCTGTAATGTGAAAAGTTATACTCAGCATTAAAATGACAGAAGGTAGTTTTTACAGAATTTCAAGTATAGTAATGATGCTAATTTCTACCTACCTGTTTACCTTTTTCACCTTTTGGCCCAATATATCCTCTATCCCCTTTTATACCCTAGAAATGAGCAGGAATGACGTTTCAACAAAATTTTTTGTACAAGCAAAAACACACGTTGTTTCTATACTTTTGGTTTTGATTTTGTGTTTTGACACTCACTTTTGGACCTGGGAGCCCTTTTGGTCCGGGGCTGCCAGGAGTCTCATAGCATTTATGTTCATAACACTACAAGATCAAAGAGGAAAACAAAACAACATTAAATTGAACAAGACATGAACACATAAATTAATTTCTAGTCTTGTTAACATAACACATAATTGTAAATTTGTTCTTACCTGTAAAAAGGCTTGATGTTTCTGAAAAGAAAAAAACAACACTAAGTACCTGATAATGACACTGCAATTTAAATCGGAATTCAAATATATGCATTCACGTGTAAGAAAGGGGAAAAGATTTCAGATCACCATGGCTTTTATGATACGATCAATGGATTCAATGTTTATTCTTGATCGCCCATCTACGATCTCCACAGCTATGTAGTCATCACGGTACAGTTCAGAGGGAGAGCTGGCTATTTCCCGCATCCCTAATTCATCAATGGTCCTGGACGCTGCCACTGAAAAAATATGGATCCCTTGCTCCCGGGCCTTCTCTGACATTGCCTTAATTCCTCCACATGGATTTCCTGTCACGTGCCCATCTGTGATGAACACAGAGAAGAGGACGCCCCCTGTCCCCAAATAGCGCTGGGTCATTTGTTTGATCATGCTTTTGATGGCGCAGTCAGTGTAGGTGCCTTTGCCCTTGTATTCAACCCCACTGAGGTGCCTGATGAAGTTCTCCCTGGTCGTGAACTGGCTGAAGACATACTGGTCCTGGGAGAAGTTCTGCCCTCCTATGGACCAGGAGATCTGGATCCGGCCCTTGTACTCCTCATCAGCCAGCCTCTGGACAAAGATCTTGGTGAACTCCTTTACTTTGTTCACCAGCGCCCCAGGTGGGGACTCCTGTAAGGCAATGGTCTCTGAGGTGTCGATGGTGAAAAAGAGCTTGATGGGACAGTCAATTATCCCAGCTGGAGGAGAGAACATCAACAAATGTCTGAATATTTTTATGCTTTGTTGTGACAAACTAGACAAATGGAGCCTGTAACATGCACACAGTGGTGGAGGAAAATACAGTAGTACATTTACCCAAGCACTGTAGTATTTTCTTTATTCTTCCACTACACTGCATTTCAGAAGGAAAAGTTCTTTTTACTTTTATTTAGTACATTTATGTAGTTACTTGTCACTTTAGAAACTAAGATGTTAAGAGTTTATAAAATATGATGCTTTGTATCAACAGTATATGCAAGTAGAGCTGAGATGATAAGTTGATTAACCAATAACGAACATTAATTGGTAATTATATTGATAATTGTTTCTTTAATTTTTCATCCAAAAATGCCCAACATTTCATGGTTCAAGCTTCTCAAATGTGAGGCGCTGCTTATACTTGTGATCATTTTAATAATTTAAATTTACTGAGATTTGAACTATTAGTTGGACAAAACAAACACTGTGTTGGTATCACATCTTTACAGTGAGGAAAATAAGTATTTGAACACCCTGCTATTTTGCAAAATCTCCCACTTAGAAATCATGGAGGGGTCTGAAATTGTCATCGTAGGTGCATGTCCACTGTGAGAGACATAATCTAAAAAAAAATAAAAATCCAGAAATCACATCATAATGTATGATTTTTTTAACTATTTATTTGTATGATACAGCTGCAAATAAGTATTTGAACACCTGAGAAAATCAATGTTAATATTTGGTACAGTAGCCTTTGTTTGCAATTACAGAGGTCAAACGTTTCCTGTAGTTTTTCACCAGGTTTGCACACACTGCAGGAGGGATTTTGGCCCACTCCTCCACACAGATCTTCTCTAGATCAGTCAGGTTTCTGGGCTGTCGCTGAGAAACACGGAGTTTGAGCTCCCTCCAAAGATTCTCTATTGGGTTTAGGTCTGGAGACTGGCTAGGCCACGCCAGAACCTTGATATGCTTCTTACAGAGCCACTCCTTGGTTATCCTGGCTGTGTGCTTCGGGTCATTGTCATGTTGGAAGACCCGGCCTCGACCCATCTTCAATGCTCTAACTGAGGGAAGGAGGTTGTTCCCCAAAATCTCGCAATACATGGCCCCGGTCATCCTCTCCTTAATACAGTGCAGTCGCCCTGTCCCATGTGCAGAAAAACACCCCCAAAGCATGATGCTACCACCCCCATGCTTCACAGTAGGGATGGTGTTCTTGGGATGGTACTCATCATTCTTCTTCCTCCAAACACAGTTAGTGGAATTATGACCAAAAAGTTCTATTTTGGTCTCATCTGACCACATGACTTTCTCCCATGACTCCTCTGGATCATCCAAATGGTCATTGGCAAACTGAAGGCCTTGACATGTGCTGGTTTAAGCAGGGGAACCTTCCGTGCCATGCATGATTTCAAACCATGACGTCTTAGTGTATTAAACAACAGTAACCTTGGAAACGGTGGTCCCAGCTCTTTTCAGGTCATTGACCAGCTCCTCCCGTGTAGTTCCGGGGTGATTTCTCACCTTTCTTAGGAACATTGAGACCCCACGAGGTGAGATCTTGCATGGAGCCCCAGTCCGAGGGAGACTGACAGTCATGTTTAGCTTCTTCTGTTTTCTAATGATTGCTCCAACAGTGGACCTTTTTTCACCAAGCTGCTTGGCAATTTCCCCGTAGCCCTTTCCAGCCTTGTGGAGGTGTACAATTTTGTCCCCTAGTGTCTTTGGACAGCTCTTTGGTCTTGGCCATGTTAGTAGTTGGATTCTTACTGATTGTATGGGGTGGACAGGTGTCTTTATGCAGCTAACGACCTCAAACAGGTGCATCTAATTTAGGATAATAAATGGAGTGGAGGTGGACATTTTGAAGGCAGACTAACAGGTCTTTGAGAGTCAGAATTCTAGCTGATAGACAGGTGTTCAAATACTTATTTGCAGCTGTAGCATACAAATAAATAGTTAAAAAATCATACATTGTGATTTCTGGATTTTCTTTTTTAGATTATGTCTCTCACAGTGGACATGCACCTACGATGACAATTTCAGACCCCTCCATGATTTCTAAGTGGGAGAACTTGTAAAATAGCAGGGTGTTCAAATACTTTTTTTCCTCACTGTATATAGAACAGTTAAAGGTTAGCTTTACTTCAACTAATTATAGTAAAATGCTGCTTGTACATTAATGCATGAGTAATAATAATCTAATGATATAATATAGTATAATAGTATTACTCACAAGGGACATTTTTCTGCAATGAGCACTTTAACTACAAAACAATTTCCTTATTATTCTTACATATCCTTTTACTTAAGTACTTTTACTTGAGTATTTTTACAGTGGTCTACTTCTTCCACCACTGGTACTTAAATACAGAGTTCTGGTACTTTTACTTATACACTACATTTCAGAGGGAAATATTGCACTTTTTTCTCCAAAACATTTTCCCCAGAAGCTCTTACTTGCAGATTAATATTTATTATACAAAACAAATTACAAGTTTATGAATTATGGTGCACTGTTGTAAATTAAACGTCTAAAAGTATATAAAGCAAAGCAATTAGAATTAGCTTTACCTTGACCTACTACAAAATTAAAGTACTGCTTTGTTGCGCCGCCATGTTTCTACAGTAGACCAAACGGTCAAACGGCTCTACAGAGCTCGTTTAGTTAATACGTTGAATAAGTATGAAGAACAATAACAAGTAACGTTAGAAGTACTAGTAGTAGTATTAGTAGTCGACTGGTTTATTAAAAGTAAGAAAAGAAAATTTAGACAAATTGAAGCCCACTCGTTTTGTTTAGTACAAGCTATGTAGCTGCAGTACCAGAGGCTGGAGTTTCAGGACCCCCGCAATCCTGGGACCGCAGTTCTAGGACCGTAGTACTTTTACAACAGCGCCATCTAGTGGAGTGGTGGTGGTAATGCACAGCAACACGAAGGAGTTTAACCCTGTCCGCTATCACGGCCGACGTGCGCAGCTGTAGGGTTAACCGGTCGCCATGCATATAATCAATAACTTAGGTTTAGGCATACACTCGGTGATGGTTGTTATAAGGGTAAGTGGCTTCGGAGGGGCTGTCAAGAAAAACATAGCTAGCTAGCAGTCACCTAGCAGGCAGTATTAAAGTAAACAAGGGTCCTAGAAATGCAGTTCCGGTCCTAGAAATGCAGTTCTGGTCCTAGAAATGCAGTTCTGGTCCTAGGATTGCGGTCCTGAATCCGCAGCCTCCAGTACTGCAGCTACATACTACTCGCTTGGAAAGGGAGGGCTGAGTGGTGCTTTCATGTGGTGTCCAAATAATCAGAATCTTTTTTCCTCCTTAAATCTCTAATGCAAAATGACGTATTGCATATACATATTTTGTAAACGTGTGATTTGTAATATGGTTATAACGGTTATTTTGCTGTCCATGTAGAGTGAACTAGATGTCTTTGTAGTAGCATCCATGTTGATTCCACATTTCGACTTAAGAGAACATGAACACACTGGAGTCGGAAGAACGATTTCACAACTCGGGAAATTGGACCATCCAAGGAGTATGCCAATGCACCATGAGCCACTAGATGCCAATAAAAGTCACACACTGAACCTTTGCATTGTGCAAGAAGAGCACGATTTTGTCCAGCCGTTAGCTAATTAGCTTAGTTAGATGTGCAGCTAGTTGTTCTTAACGTAGCCCTACCTTTATTTTATTTATTTACTTTTAATAAATACGGCCAAACCAGGACTGAGACCAACAGAGGCCATCTAGATGGCGGTGAATACAGAACATAGTTGATTTGAAGCAGCTCCAGCACAGTGTGTAGAAAATATTTTCACAACTAACTCTGTGAATTATGGGTTTATATGTTGGACAGTAGAAAGACTAATGATAGACGGTTTAAGTGAGTTTTAATTTACAAGATAATTAGTTCTGTGAAAGAAGTATTTTTCTGTTTGATAAGGAAAATAGGTGTAAGAATATTTCCTTTTGACAGTTTATCTTTTTATCTTACACATTGGACCTTTAAGTATATTTTGTTTCCAATACTTTTACTTTAACAATGGAGCATTTTTATATTGTGGTACTGGGGTTTTAAATTAATTCTTAATACTTCTTCCATCACTGAACACATGAAAAGTCCTCAATTCTTAAAAAAATCTATTCTATTGAGTTAAAAAGACAAAACTCACACTGACAACCTTCGGGTCTTGGTGTGGGCTGAGGTAGGCCTGGAGGTGGAGTTGGTTCTGGACTGTCACCTCGCCCAGGTATTGGCCTGGGTCCACGAGGGCCCACAGGTTGAGGGACTGCAGCTTGGAGCAAGCACAGAAAGATGAACCCTGAAATCAGCGCCATTTCTCCTGCAATAAAACAAGGGGACAGAGAGGAGAGAATAGGACCGTCGCTGAAGGCCTTCTTTTAACTCCCTTTAAATGCAGGAAATAGCTGTCAAACAAGTGAGTCTTCACAGAAGGCGTCTCCACAGAGCTTAGAGTGTTTATCGTTGTTTTAAACAATGTCAGTGAATAACCACGCTGTGTGGAAAAGGAGGACAATATTTAAATTATTGAAGCTGTTTAGTTGTTGCTTCCCACCTGTTTTTGGTCAAACAGAATCCACACCGGGGTTTTCCCATACTAGGCCCTATTTCATGTCAAGAACGATAAAACATAAAAACAACAACAGAGCAGCTAGATAAGAATTTGTGTAAGGAAATCACCTTCCCAGATTTGGTCTACGTGAGGATTACTTTAACTAAAAGCAGAAAATGTTAAGTTTAACCCCGGTCCACAGTAAGGGTTCCCAAAACATAACTGATGGATAAGATTTTACTGAAGGACATCAAACGCAACATGATTGTGCTGTTGTACAGAGGTGGGAAGTACATTAGATAAGTATTGTAATTTAGTACTATTTTGAGGTACTTGTACTATACTTGATAATGTTCTTTTTATGCTGCTTTATACTTATACTCTACTACATATTAGAGGGAGATATTGTACTTTGTATGCCACTATTTACAGTCATGGCCAGAAATATGGGCACCCATGCATGTCTGTCACTAATACACTACTTCTCCCAGAAAATTGTCGCAATTACAAATGCTTTGGTATTCTCATGTTTATTTTTTTTTCATTGAAAAAACACAAAAAAGCAGAGAAAAAATCCAAATCTAAGACATTCGACACAGAAGTCCAAAAATGGGCTGAATAAAATTATTGGCACCTTTTTTAAAATCTTCAGAAATAATTGTATTTCAAGCATGTGATGCTCCTTTAAATTGCAATTAAACTCACCTGTAGCAATTCACAGGTACTGGCAATATAGAAATAACACTTACAACCCGTTAAACTGTTGAAAGGTTGACTCAACCTTTGTGTTGTGTGTACCACACTGAGCATGGACAAAAGAAAGAACAGAAAAGAGTGGTCTGAGGATTTGAAAACCAAACTTTTGCATGGACAATCTCAAGGGTAGAAGTCCATCTCCAGAGATCTTAATGTTCCGGTGTACACTGTGTGCAACATGGTGAAAACAATTACATCTCATGGCACTGTAGCTAATCTCCCTGGATGTGGACAAAAGAGAAGAACTGATGAAAGGTTGCAATGAAGTATTGTTCGAATAGTGGATAAAGAACCTTGATCAACTTCCAAACAATTTCAGGCTGACTGGCAGACACAGGGGACAACAGTGTCAGCTCGCACTATCTCTCGCCATCTGAATGAAACGGGACGCTATGGTAGGAGACATAGGAAGACCCCGCTGCTGACACAGAAACAAAACTTAGACGAGGAAGCCAAAATCAGTAAGAATGTCCTGTCGACAGATGAGATTTGTATGACCAATAATGAAATCTGAAGACTACCAAAGAATTCTGGGTCGCCATGTAGGGCCCAGTGTCAGAAAGCTGGTTCTCCGTCAGAGGTCATGGGTCTTATAGCAGGACAATGACCCAAAGCATGTACTTCAAAAAGCACCCAAAAATGGTTTAAGACAAAGCACTGGAGAGTACTGAAGTGGCCAGCAATGAGTCCAGATCTAAATCCCATAGAGCACCTATAGAGAGATCTCAGAACAGCAGTTGGGAGAAGGAACTCATCAAATCTTCGCACACCTAAAGCAGTTGGCAAAAGAAGAGCAGTCCAAAAGAGGAGTAAGAAACTCATGGTGGTTACAGGATGTGATTGATTTGTTGTTATTTCCAAAGGGTGTGCTACCAAATATTAAGTTGAGGGTGCCAATTACTTTGTCCAGTCCATTTTTGGATTTCTGTGTGAAGTCTCAGATTTGACTTTTTTCCTCTGCTTTTTTTGTGTTGTGATGCAAACAAAAAAAATAAACATGAAAATACCAAAGCATTTGTAGTTTCAACAATTTTCTGCATTAGTGCCTTATCTGACAGACATGCTGGGGTGCCCATAATTTTGGCCAAGACTGTAACAGTTATACTTCACATAACCTTTTTAAATCCAAAATCAGTTTATAATGCATTGAAACAGAAACTACCCAACTACATAAAGTAGATAAAATTAGCTCCATACGACCAGCAGCAACATTAAAATGCTGCTTATAGCCTACGCGAATAATTGTGATCTAATACGATAATAAAATAAAACATGTAACAGAGTTCCTCCCACAGCACCCTCTGGCCTTAATTTCTCCTTACTTAAAGCTATTTTCTTCCAAAAACAGACTCATCTGTAACGTCAGGTGCAGATAGAAACAGCTTGATATTTTGAGCTACTTTACACACTACACTGTACACTGCACTAAACTTTCAGAACAGTTAAAATAAAGTGGACTCACCGCGGCGACAGGATGAAGAAATCAAATCTGCTACTCGACTGTACAGAAAATTAAAGCAATTTCCCGAGACTGTAAACTACAGATAATCATCTCAGTCGGAAAGTTCCCATATCAGCAGTCTGTCAGGGTCACAGCCCTTGGTGGAGGAGCCGCCCGTTTTTATCCTCAACTGACGCACAAGCGCGTCCGGGGCGCACGCGCACGCGCACTTGAGACTATAGCTGGAGAGTTGGAGTCCAGACCATCGTGTAACAAAGCAGCTGGAGCCAAGAGGGACAGCGCAGTCTCCAAAAGACAAGATGTAATTCTGGAAAATAGAGTGGCTTCGCATAAACACAACACGATGCAATAATCTATTTATCTGCCTGATCTGACAGAATAAATCTGAGAGCCACAGACTGATTCTGTCCAAAGAGCAGCTTTCCAAACTCCCCCTGCTCCACATCCTTACATGGCGAGAGCTGCGCACACTCACTGTCTGTTTATGTTTCAAGACTATACAGCATGAGACATGCCATGTTGGAATTTTGCTGCTGCAGCTATCCAAAAATGACAGTTTAGAAAGAGTAGCAGTAAAAGCAGCAAAATTGTATCTACACAAAGATGTGGTATTAACAATCCATTGATAGGATATACAGTATAATGAAATGATACCCACAGGGGTGATACAAGGGTCATTTTTCTGCACAGTTTTTGATGGTCTTGGTCTTGTCTCGGACTCCATGCATTTGTACTCAGTCTTGTCTCAGTCTCGGACTTTGTGGACTCGGGATTTTATTTCAAGACCAGTCAGGACCATACCTTGGGAATATCAGTAAATTGCTTTTGTCTGATTTATTTGTTAACTTCCTAACTTTGATTGGATGTAAAACTTATTGCTTCAAATGCAACCAATAACCCTAATTAAAATGTGTTGTTACCATTAAGGACTGTCACCCCTCCCTGCGATGCTTACGTTGACTTCAGCTCTTAGTGTTTGTATGTGGGTGTGTTAATGGGAATGTGGATCTTTCAGATCAATTTGAGAAGCACCTATGATCTCCTTCCACATTTTATTGTGTGTCATGTAATGTGGGGAACTGGTCTTGGTCTTGACTTGGTCTTGGTTTGGGCGGTCTTGACTACAACACTAGGCATACTACTTTACTGTACTACTGTGCAAATATTTTTAATGTAGGACTTTTATTTACAATGGAGCATTAAATAGTTTTACTGTGGAATTTTCTTCTAAACAAATCCAGTTTCTGTTTACATTCACAACATTAGCCTACTCATCAACATTGTGTACCCTTGAGGACTAACAAACATGTTGCATTTCCTTCTACTAAATCTGAATATTTACTGGAAAAACACATAGTTCTCTGAATTTTGATGACACAAGATGCTGCAGCAGGAGCTTAGTTCTCACTGCCACAAGACATAAAATCAATTTTTCATTGTCTCTTGAAGGACATTTTTCCTTTCAGACACTGTACATAGATTATTATAGATGACCTGCCTGTCTTTCATGCCTCTGTGATTTTATTCATTTTTAAAAAATAAATCAAGGGCTGAGACATGTCCTCTCTGCGGAGCTGTGGTGAGGTCACTCAGTGGTCCTGAAGATTAAAAAATAAATAATCCCACACCTTTAAGTAAAGGATTCAACCTGAGGCACAGTCCCAATAGCTCCCATTCATTCACAGTGCAAATAAAACAAGGAAGCCATGTTCAACTGGGGGGATTTGGGAATACGTCACTTTTGGGATTGGACATTTAGTCATTTAGGAGCACATGCTCTAGTTTGGGAGATGTGTATTAATCAGGTCATCAGGAATGCAAGGCTGTACAAGGCTGTCTGTTTATCAGCGTTCAAATGCTCACTGAGTGCTGCTGTTTGTAGAGCCCCCAAATGTGTGTGTGTGTGTGTGTGTGTGTGTGTGGTGTGAGAAGGGTGGAGGTGCGTTTGTGAAGAAATGCTGAGTGAGCAAGTGAGCGATTAAGAGAGAGGCGGGCACTCTGAGATTGTTTCTCCTGGGCATCACTCTTTTTAAACGCCTGCTGCATCCAGATTAACATTTACAGGTAGAGCAGCTGTGCACAAAGAGAAGAGAAACTAGGAGCAATGACTATTGTGTTGATTATATAGTGACCTCGATAAACTAGTGCACACAAGTATCTAGCCTACTTCTTACACATTAGTACAGTGATTAGACCGTTAACTCTTTAGGTAGGCCTACTGTATGTATGTGTGCAGATAAATAGTATTACTACAAGAACATTTTTGCAAATTTATTAAAAAAAGGAAAAACTGAAATATCACATTGACATAAGTATTTAGACCCTTTGGAATAACACTTGAAATTCAGCTCAGGTGCCTCCCATTTCTCTTAATCATCTTTGAACTGTTTCCACACCTTGATTGGAGTTCACCTGGTTCAATTGAATTTTAAAATAATGAAATCCTGTTTTTGCTTTGTCATTACAAGGTATTGAGTGTAAATTGAAAAGGGGAACAATTATTCAGCGCATACTGAGAGTTGCCTGGGTTCAGATATCTAAATCGCTGCCCGCATCTCAAATTTCGCAAGTTTAGTGTGACTATCAAGCTGGTTGTCCTTGTCCTTTTTTAAGTCATCAACAGCAGTACATCAATGAGCCACCAGGGGGAGAACACAAGCTGCAAAAACATGTCACTGAGAATCATTTTTATTACTGCTTATCAGTTTTGACAAGTGAAGTACAGAATACCTTTAATCTTTTCAATTGGTTCAGTGCTTTTGAATGTCTATTTCTACATGATGGAGAGATAAAGTACTGATTAGAAGTATTTCAGATTTAACAGTGCTACGAGATGGTGGCTCAGTGGTTAGTCTTGTCATGTCACAGAAAGAAGGCCCTGGGTGTAAATCTCAGCTTCAGACTTCCTGTTTGGAATTTCTTCCTGTGTGTGCATGTTCGTGTGTTTCCTCTGGGTGCTCCGGGTTTCCTCCCACAGTCCAAACATGCAGATCAGCTGGACTGTAACCTCTAATTGCTCGTATGTTTATTTTTCTGTGATGATTAAAGAATCCGGCATCAGGCTTCAGTAGCCCCTGAGCCTAAAGTGTAAGTGTATGTAGAAAAAGGACAGAAATATGTCAGCATTCAAAAAGAAGAAGAATCTGACCATAAGTGTAAAGGCCGCCTCTCCTGCAATTTCACCCAGCATTGTCACCAACCATCTATGCTTCTATCTTCTCTGTAATACCCTTCATCTCAGCTCTACAAAATGCTCCTTTTCATTTTCAGAGGTAGGAGAAGTTGCAGAGGGTGAATGCAGTCCTTTCTGCCAGTGTGATTCAGACTTCAGATGACTCGCTTGAATAACACATTAGCTGTATGCAATTTACCCAGTTTCAAAGGTTCAGTGTTCTATATAGTCTGCAAAATCCTTTTTGGGTCAATTTTCTGCAGATGAAAGCAACGCGTACAACGGTTTTATTACATTTTACACAAATCAGGAAAAAGAAAACCCTTCTGAAATCACTGGTTCGTATGGATTTAACACATGCAGGCTTTGCAAAGTGCCTCAATTATTTGCTTTAGTAGACATATTTAAAGAAACATGAATAGAACATTAAAAACTTTCATGTTTGATGGAAAATCTGATTGATGACTTTCATGAAAGACTTCCATTCTTGTCATCCTAAAATGTACAAAACCGCCACCGCACAGTTGTACTGCCTTGGTTCCATATTTTATGCTAGAAATAGAAGGTTGAGGTTATCCTGTGATTAAATGAAACCAGAAAACTATGAATGGAAATGGCACTAAAGCCCACCTTGCAGGAGTCTGTGTATTCTTGAAAAAGATGGTCTTAAGAACGGGGATAACTTTAAATTGAATTTACAATTAAAAGTTAGTGAGACTTCACACTCCCTGCTCCAACAAAATCGATGAATTTGAACATGCTGCACATATTTTCCCAAGCATGAAATAGATATGATGTCAATGTGTTGCAGCAGAGCGCACGTAAATAGACGTGCTCCATATTATTTCTGAAAGAGACCAGTCAGGTAAGAAATTCCTATGCATTTGGTTGTTTTGTAAGTTTCATCAAAGCTAGGTGTGTGAGTGCCTGTGAAGAGAGACAAGGTGTGAAGAGAACTGAGGCAAGCAGATTCACGGTGAACTCTCTGCAACCTTCCCTGTTCCCTGCAAGTTGAATCTATACAGCAGCTCCCACCCATTGATATCAGCATTTCATGGCTTAAATAATTCAGCAGAAAATCACAGCACTACCTGATTCTCTGCAGATACTGTACTCCTGGCATTTGATTATGATGAGGAATAGCAGGCTTGCAATAAAGGACATCCACCAGGTAATGTGGGGATTAATTAGAAAGAATACTAAAGGTTATACAGACAGGAAGTAATGCACCTCATGATTATGCTTTCTGACAGTGTGGACTACTTAATTATCCTTCAACACAGCAATGCAATACTTTGTTAAACAAGTAAACAGTGTTATATCGATAAGACAAGGTTACGGTGTACTGCTGCATTGCAAAAACCTACAGGAACATAAATGGCATGAAATTAAGCTTCAGCATCGCTCAAATGAATGCAGACCATTCATATCAGATATATTTTAAGCTAATGATGTGTTTTAATGTAATGCATGTTGGAAAAGGCTCAAAGGCATCTGAGACAGAGCTCCGGAGAAATGTTTCACACTATGATCAGCTTTGGCTTTTCGCTTGTAATGGATAATATTAGCATCAAAATGTTTTTTTTTAGGAGACGGCATTCAAATGAGAAACTGTAGAATAATACACAGCATCTTCCCTGCACAGCATTGCAGTGTCAGTCTGTTGATATTGTGGTAAAAAAAATAGGTAACATGAATAAATTCCCCCGCTATGAGCATGTTTTTTAACAGTGTTTCTTTCCTCCCACAACATGCTTGAGAGATCTAGTGTCCCCTGGGATAAAATTGGTCTTTCATGGACATGAATCAAGAGCTGTGAATAAATATCAAAGAGCATATCTGAATCTGACAGCCAAGTGAAATCACTGGCTTTGTGAGCCAAACATGAATATGTCCCTAATGGACTGCAAGTGACACCACGGCTTCGGAGCAGAAACGTGTTTTCATGCGTGGAGATGGTGGCAGAAGCAATTAAGCAAACTGGCTGATGAGTGTACTTAGCCTCGTTTTTCGCAATTGTTCAGATATATTGTTAGAAATACTGTGAACATTTTTTGAG